CTTAAATGTTATTCCTAGGAATCTGACCAGTCATAGTTCTTTAAAAATAAAAGCTGGCAGGTCATTTTGGTGCTAGCACTGTTTGAAAAACAAGATAAAAAACTTTATAAAAAGAAACATTAACCAGATCAAAACAATGCTGTAGTTTCCAKAAACATTTCATGCTTCATGTGAATTTGATGTTCACAAGAGGACAAGCCTATGGGTAAATGAGGAACTTTCTCTTTTTTCCCCCAGCTTTCAGTATAGCAGATAGCCAAAAACATGATCCTGATGTCTTTAGTGTCACACAATGTCTTTCCTCTGGCTCCAGTGGACTTTATATTTTGATTTTCTTTATCTTCTTGGGTCTTTGGGATCTGTTGTATGCAAACACCAATTGTCTTCTTTTGGGTATTAAAATGGTTGTTATAAAAACGGTTAAATATTAATATTGGTTGGGACTTTCAAAGGCAGGGAAATGAGGTAGAGCCCCATAGGTATCTAGGTCCACTAAATGCCATGGGAAATTTAACTGTTAAAAACTGTTTTTTCTTCTGGCAATCCTTGCCACTGTATGCAGAATGCATATGTGAGTTAAGATATATCATGTATGCTAATAGTCAAATCCATAAATGTCAGCTGGTTCAGCTCTCAGGAGAATAAGGAAATTGTAGATAAAATATAGCTCCAACATTTGATAAGAACTGAAATCTTTCTTKGGTTGGTAAATATCTGATATGCCTTGCTAAAGAGGATCACAAATAGTCTTTTAAAAGAGGAATTTGGATCAGAGGCAGGRAAAAAAGCAGGAACTGACTTGTCAGCTAACAATCCCCTGCTGTGCTAAAGATGTGCATTTTTAAGTTAAAATTCAGAAGTAGGTTCCTTATAATTGAAATTTATATTGCAGCTTGAAAAGAAAGAATGAAGAATGGGATTCTTTTTTCTGCAGTAGTGACACATCCAGTTTCTCAAACTYTGAGCTAACCAGTGCTGGTTTTGCAGATACGATGTTGGTATCTGAAAAATACCACTCCACACTTTCAGATAAGCTATAAGCAACCCATAATCCTGGAAGAGAGTCTGTGGGAATGAATTCTAAGGGTCCCTGTGAAACCTTAACCTCAGAGCCTAAGAAAAAAAGTAATGATAGAAATAACAATTTTGCCAAGAGTAGCAAAAGAAACTGTAATATTTAAACCAAAAATTACATTTAAATAGCAGACATTTTTATTCAGCAATTGTACAGAGTTCAAAACAAAGTGATCCTTGCCTTTGCCCTGCCCTTTTTATTATTCTCTTTGAAGTTTATTTTCTGTTTAAATGAACTTGCTTACTTCCCGGAAATTTATTCCTCTTTCTATAAGTAGATTCACGAAGCAGAAATTATGTCTTCATGTTACACAAACTCCACACCCTTTGTGTTTTATTGCATTACCGGTAGTTTGGTCTTGTTCAGATATTTGCTTGCAAAGGAGATACGGGGCTCTGGTTGTGATAGTAATTTATTACCTGTTTTATTGTTGCCATTTGGCCTATAACTTTAAAGGTAACCTCAAATGTTTTCTTAAGAAAGGTTTAGCCTTGAACTTGTGTCCCCAGCCCTCTGGGATGCTCAACATCCTCTAACTCTTGTGTGAGCACGAAGTACATTTAACATAAAGTTGGGGCTGAGCCAAATGCTGAATGTCTCACAAAAAGGAAAAGAAAACCAAGAAAGCTTCACCTTAACTTTTTCCACATCTGTCAAAGAATTATTAATGTTTTAACTTGGAAGATACTTCTCAGCATTTGTTGTGTGGGTAACTGTGCAGTTCATTATATGAACAGTCATCAAAAAACTGCTATGTCTGAGCCATGGAATTTAAAATGTACTGTAGGTCCCAGTGCAATGCTCAGAGGAGAGATTTAATTTCCTGGGCTATGCCATCAATTTGGGGAAAACATACTAAAAAAAATTCAGTGTACATTGAGCACAGGCTGTGCCCAAAATCTGCATGTGCCCACACTCATAGRGTGCAAGAGCCCAGCTCAGATTTGTCACTATAGTCTTTGGTCAGCTGCAATGATGTCTTGTAGGTAGATCTGATCTAGGTTCTAAAAACACATCCCAGAATGGCTAAAGAGGAATATAACCAGCCAAGCAGCTGTCTGGAGCAAATGATGGTGCTGTGCAAGCTACAGGCACCCTATGGCTGGTAGCAGCGGTGTGTGGGATGAGCAGCAGGGAATATATCCCTGCTGGATGCTGCTCTCTGGTTGCACCCCTCCCATCTCCCCTCTCTTCTGCTTGCCACTTCCATCTCTTTTTGCTCTGGGATTTTTTGCTGCATAATGCAAGCAAGTTGTTGGCTTTTCCACCTTAAAAAAAATCTCCATCTTTGATCTCAAGATCTTCTGTAGCTACTGCTTCTGCTTTCTTCTTTTCATCAAGTTTCTAAACACTGTTAGGATTTCCTCTCCTTTTTTCATGAGAGAGCCCATTCTGTCTGTTGCTTGCTACAGTTCCATTCAAGACTTTGCTGAGTTTTAGAGCCATCCTGCAATTTCAAAGTTCTTTATCCTGTCAGGCATATCCAGCACATAGTCTGGGCTCCCTCTCCACGCATGGCCCTCCTCTTACCCCCTCAGTGTTTCTGCACAACCATCACTGTCCTGTGTGGGTCTTATGGAATTTGCACTTGGTCTATGTGTGCCAAAGCTTTGCACAAAGCTGTGTGCAAAACAATACAGCAACAACTTCACTGAGGCCGCATGCAGTTTCACACATGCGCACACTAGAACTGGCTCTCTGTGTCTTACCAGACAGAACTGTGAATAGAGCCATGCAGTAGTGTTCCCTTCTTCCCCCTCTCCTGGCAGGCAGCTATTCCTCTCAATATTTTCCATCTGATTTTCAYCCTTGTATTTTCCTCCAACTCTAGGTATCCTAATTTCTCCAAATGTTTCCACTATATGAATCTGAACTTTATCATAGAACTTCAGAATCAGTTTAACTGAGGTTGAACTTCCTAGAAATTAGGACAAATTTGGATTTAAAAGGCATAAATTGGATAACTCATTTTCAGTAGAGTCTGATTTGAAATTTTGGGTCTGTGCCTGAATTTGTGTTAGACTAAATCTGAACATACTTTTGAAAAACCTTCARAAATGGAAAAATTAGATTGAAGTCCAAAGTCTTAAGCCCAGGATTTAGGTGCTATTGTATCCAAGGTTCTGTTTTCCCACAGCAGATAGAGACAAAACCCGGATCTATAGTTTTGGCTGTGGCTTATCTCATAGTTCTGTTTCACAGCTCAAATTGACATCATTCTTGTAATACACATTAGTAGTCCTCTCTGTCCTTCTGCAAAGACATCAAATCAGGTTTCAGCTCTTTAAACTTTGATGCTGGATGTGCTGCCTTGTTCTGTAAGTCAGTGTGTTGTCACGCTTGCTGCACTGTCAATGCAGTGTGTRCTCAGTGTTAGACTCCCTGGTACAGCAGCTGCAGGACTTATTTTTCATATGCCACACTCCCAAACAGCCAGCAGTAAACACAAACTCACTTGTAAGCATCATTCATGAGGTTTGGGGGCTGATTTGATTCCCAAAAAAGTCATGGCAAGAAGCTTCTCTGATCGATGTAGGATCAGAACTATCAGTTTGGGGTCTCCTGGAAATTAGGATCTTTCACTCAATGTTTATTCAATTATAATGGAGAGAAAAATGCCTCATTATTTTTTTCTATAAATAAAAAAGTTTTCACCTTTGGGAAAATATGGTGTCTAGGACAGGAGACCATGATAGAAAAATAAGGGTTTATCATGTGACTGCTGTCTTAGGACACAACAGGCAAATTCCTGTCATGGACTACACCCTTGGTTCTGCAGTTGTTTGAAATGCCAGAGTGCAGGTCATAGCCTGCCTCTGGTGTGAAACTTGCAGCAGTGATCTCTGAAGAGAAAAGAAAAGAAATCAGGTACTRGAAAGATGGTAAAGGAGAGAAAAGAAGAGTTAAAACTAGAAAGATGTCCTGACATCTTGGTAAACTTGGCTCAGCCATTCAGCTTAAGATTCATTATGTGAATAAAAGTCAAATCCTGAATTTTGGGATTCATACAGAAAATTCTCGGTGGAGCATCAGATACTGATGAACAACACCACAGTCTTGCTGTATGCATAGCAGTCTCTGCTGAAATCTAAACCCTGGAGCTCTTCTAAAATTTTTATTTGTTCATGATTGAAACTACACCAARGATTAATTAACCTTTTTGCTTTCCAGCAAGATATTGGAATTTTGCCACAGTGTCCTCATTTAACATTTATCTAGAGAAATGCAAGAATTATGAKACTGTATTCTGTTTAAAAGTGCCAATTTGTCATGGGATAGTTTAACAACCAAGAAATTCCTTGGAGTTACTAGAGACATATTTTKTAAGGATTTTCCAATGTAAAAACTGACAGGCTTGACTTCGTTTGGAGGGTTAAGGAGGGGAACAGGCTGCTCCTCAGCTGAGATTGTATGAGCTAGGTTTTATCCTTGAGTGAGCTGGGAAAGCCCAGGATCAAGAGCTCTAGATAATATTTATAAGGAAAGAACTTGAGCAGCCAGCACAGCTTACTCAAAGGCTACATGAAAATTCATGGCTACTCTCATGAAAACAGGCATAAGAAAAACAATAGAGGAACCCATTTGATAATTGGAATTATGATTAGCAAAATGAGAGATTGCTTCCTATGCACTCTCATCAGGAGTAATTGGCACAGTCATCAAGGAACCAGCCAGTTAAGGCATGGTACTCAGGGCACTTTGGGCACTGCAAGAAGTCTGGTTTTGGGAGAGATGCTGATTAAGCAGGGTTAGAATTAGGAAGGGAGTGAAAGTGGAATTCAAACAGAGAGAGACAGATGGAATAGATGTTGAAGTAATAATTTTTGTGTTCCATATACTTAGAAAATATGTGATAATACCACGAAAGGATTTCACAATTTTCCTATGGAAAGTATTTATCTTTTCCTGTTGGTGCCTTCTGCAGGCTCTTCTCACAGAAGTGGGGCTTTCTGTTACAAGCCTTAGCTGCTCTAAGACCAAAGCTGGCCCTGGACCCCAATGCTGTAAGTACAACCTTTGGAGAGGTTCCCTGTTTAGCTGAGCTCTGGAGCACACAGAGCCTCTCTGAATGCCCTCTCTCAAGTTACTCATCAGCTGAACAAGTACAATGTCCARCTAGAACAGTACATGTTGGTGTGTGTGCCTGTTGCATAGTTCATATAGTATAGTTGCCTGTAGAAATAGACTGGAAAAGGAGCCCCTGTGAGTGTTGYGCATGGGAATTATGGGCAGAATTTATGCTTGAAAGTGGCATATCCAATGGGCTAGCACAGCACTGAAATTAGGTGCCTTGAAATAGGTGTCTGTCTGCAATGTCTCCCTTGCAAGAACTGGAGGAATCCCTCTGCATAAATAGTTTGGCTGGGGATTTTCTTCCTCAGCTTGGCTGTAGTTTTTGTATATGTTCAAAAAGCAATTATATGAGGTTTCATTCCTTAAAAATRATGAAAACACTATAGCCAGCCATGTCATTAGCAGTGCCTCTTTGCCACACCAGTGTGCGGCTCCAGTGTTGCCATCTGATTTGTGTGTGTAGACACAAGCTAAATGAACATGTGTATGCAGATGCAGCAAGACCTACAGAAATGTCTGACACTTCAGAATTCCATGTAAATTCCTAAAAAATGTAGCACTCTTACATAAATGTGTTTTTCCACATTTCCACATTTTCATTCRAGTTTTGATAACCGAAATCTTGTTTTCCTGCTGGCTTGTTTACCTAATAAAGTCTATTTATGTTATTGAGCAGATTTTTATATAAATCCTTAGAACATAACAACCCCCCCCCCTCCTCCATTTGTATAACTGTGTGAAAGTATTGAAACCAGCTGGAAGTGCAGTGATGCGTAAGTTATTAATGCTCCAGAGCCATAGACCATGAGCAGAACTACAACACCTACTGAAGAAATGGGTCTGCTACTGAGAAAGTTTTAAGTTCATAGAAATGGCAGATTTGTACATCCACATTCTTACAGATGAGTGCTCAGGCATTTGTAAAAGGATACAGGACTTAACTAAGACATTTAACTGAGCTCCTACTAGTTGTGATCTACAGTTAATTCTTCTTACATGACCAAAAAAAAGGGGGAGAGTGTATGAGAAGCCTTTTAAGCCTTGGAGGAAGGCTGAAGGGGAAAAAAAAAGGGTACTGACTGCAGCTCTTGAAGTCTGCAGAGTTTAAAGATCTTAGTGAAGCAAATGAAGATTGTCACAGGAAAATGAGAAGATCTGAAAAAAAACCTGGTAACACACAGATTTGAAACTGAATCATCAGAAAAAAAGGGCTTAGCTTGATGCTGTTGAGATTAATAAACTGCGGAGGCAATTAACATTTTAAATTCAGAGGTGTGAATGAATCAGATTTTTTAGGGAGAGGTAGCGTCTTTTGCTCAAACAGCACATGRTATTGCAGACTGGGGTTGCAACCACAACGGTAAGAGAGAAAAAGTAGGAATGATAGCAGGGGAAAGGGGAATGTAATGTTCCCTGCAAGAGTAGGGTAACCAGGGCTGGGAATCAACAGCAAGCAGCAAACACGATCTTTTCTGAGAACTACTGGGAGTGAGGGCTGAGGATGCAGTGAGCTGGCAGTAAACCAACAGCTGAGGAAATGGTGGAAGAAGGAAGGGTTGAATTCGTGGAAAATTAGTTTTCTTTCTCTGGGAAAGAGGTTGTTTTGTTTTTGACAGTCTCATTTGAACAGAAAGAGGAATTTGCCATCTGTGGAGATACCACTTCCAGAAAATCTTAACCTTTTCCTTACTGACTGTGGAGCAGCAGCTGCTTCYGACACTTACTGTACAGAAGCTTCCGTCATTCTCATTTTTTACTGCCGTGAGTTTGAAACATCAGGAGTCTTTATAACTCTGTGATACAGAGATTTTCAGTTCTTCTAACATGACCTTTAGTGGCATTATGCCACTGGAAGCACAAATCTCCTTGCTCGGCCATAACTCACATCCATAAATGTTATATGCTTTCACCCAGGGACAAAATGCATAGTGTCACAGCTTTTAATATAGTGAGGACTGATTGCTAGGATCTCTGGGAAGCTAATTTGATCACCTCTCTCCACACTTTGAAGTAAGAAAGTTACAATATTTATGTCCTTTCTGTTTGTCAACACTTGGGGGACTTAAATAGCCTGAGGGGCTTGGAGGGATATTGATAAGTATTATTTGTGCCATAGTGTCAGGTGTGCAGTGCAGCAAGCTAACAGTTAAATTTGGATTACAGTAAATCATGCCAGGGTGGYACAGGAAAATAAAAGCCAGCAAGAAGGCTCATTCTAAAAAATAAAGCAGAAGTTGTTTGTTAGGGTGGTCCAGAAAGAAATAGGGCAGTAAAATTTGTAGATGCCATTTTGTGAAACACTACAGGAATGTGTAACAAACGGGAAGAATTCACTGCTTTACTGTGATAAAAGGAAAATTGTGGCACAGTAAAATAGAAGTTGTAKTCCTCATGTTCCTCAAAGATGCTGGCTCTTGTAGGAATAGATGAAGAGAACTGATATAAAAATTTGACACGAAACTTTCCCTTTGGAAAATAGTGCACCACAGAGTACAAGATGTATTTCACAAAGAAGAATGTTGAAAATAAGTGGCTTTTTCGATGGGAAAATTCCAAAGAAATTCAAAATTGAACTGTGAAAATTCCATTTGGATATTCTCTCCTTGTTTTATTTTGATTCTCCTTGGTCACTTTTCCTGAATTTTTGGTATTCTTTTTATAATTTCCGTATATGTTTATATTTTATTTATGTTYATACATGTATGTGCATGTGTGTATTGTGTGATGGTCTTTTAATACTATTATCATCTTTTACTAATTGAAACATTTTGGATTTTTCCYGTAAAATATATCATCTGTATTTTTCATCTCAAATCTGTTGAAAACATACTCTGGCATGCTGAAAATTCCCTGTGTCTAAGTTAACTCTATTTGCTGAGAAGCTGTGCTGCCAGCTGTTAATTTCGTTTGAAAGAATCTTTCCAACATGTACATTTCTGGTCAGTTTTAAGGTGGTTTTTTTTTTGGTTTTTTTTTTTTTTTTTCAATAGGTAATGGTGAAAAATCCTCAAAACCTGTTAACTAGTGGTCCTTCAACTGAAATATAATAACTGGCCATAAACTTGCAGTGTCACAGAATAATGGTGGTCGAACCTCTGGATATTGTGTAATCCACCCTACACGCACTGCTCAGAGCAGGTCAGCAGGTCAGGTTGCTCAGATCATGTTTAAATAACTGCAAGGATGGAGACTCCACAGCCTCTCTGGGCAATCTGTGCTAATGCTTGGTGATTTTGAGTGCAAGTGCAAGTGATTTCCTTGCATCTAGCTGGAATTTCCGATGTTGGAGCATGTCTTTCATCCTGCCCCTGTGTATCTCCAAGGAGAGCCTGACTCTGTCGTCTCTGCACACTCCCATGTGACAGCTGCTGTTTTTACTGTGCATCTCAAGCAGCACCAGACTGTACTCTGCTTTAGTAGCTACAGCTCAGAGATATGCTGACAGATGTGGAGTGGCAGCTTATGAAATACAATAATACAATTGTAAACACTTGTTGGCTCATATCATCACCTCTGCTGTTATCTCTYACAAGACAATAAAAGATAAACCTTTATCTGAGGTTTGAATCCATTGATTTTTACCCAATATGGATGAAGGACTTCAGATGGGTTTATGTGTTTTGCAAACAGAGTAGGTCTGTCTCTGCTCAGATAGTACTGTRGTTTACTATCTGGATGGAGTCATTTGGCTTCTGGCAGAATCTACAAACTTAAACGAAAAGAAGTTTTAAACCAGTCAATAGTTATCTGGCATTACTCACGTTTTTAATCTAGGGGGCTTGGTTTTGGTAATTCAAGAACAGTGCACTTGCAAAAAAATATGTGTACGGTAMGGATTCTCACCATTTATCACGTCCAGCTAATCTTCTAATTTGTTAGTTTATGGAATATTTGGATTAAAAAAAGGGGCACAACAATTTTGTGCTGGTTAGCAAAAGGCTTTGCTGGGCTTTCTGAGGCTCGTGTGGAGCCCTGAAGAAGAGGAATGATGTGATGGCAGCACAGATAGGTGCAGGCTGAACAACAGGAGGGGTGGTTGGCAGGAAGGGCTGTCCCCACAGCGCTGATTCAGCACCCAGGCTCTAATTGTGCAAGAGGAATGGCACTTTAGAGGTGTTTACATCCTCTTATCAGACCTGTCAGTGTAAATAATGCCTTTGTCAGCAGTATTTCTGTGACCAAAAAACCTTTGCAAATGCACTGTAAGGACTGTCTGGACCTCCTATAGCAAGGTAAATCATGCTGTTTGAGCTCTTGCAAGTCCTTTGGAGAGGGACAGGAAAGATGTGATTCTGCCATGGTCAGAAAGTTCGTTCATCATGTTTCATCTAATTTCAACCTTCATGGCTACATTACCTTCAGAGAACCCATACTGATTTAAGATCCTGTTCAAAATACCCAAATACTCTGTGATAAGAAGTGCTGTGGTTATGCATTATGCCCTTGTATATAGGCTATAATCAGTTTCATAATGTGAAAAATTTTCCTTGCTGTGTGACCATTAAAATTATGTATGTATGTATATTTGTGTAATGGAGTTCTTTAAGAGCCTCTTTCAGGCCAGAGACAGCAAGAGGTTGTATCTGTAACTTCTAGGAGCAAACAAGAGTTAAAAAAAAAAATAAAATAAAATAAAAAACCAGGCAGAGAGGAAATTTGTGATTTGAAATGTTTTAACTTATAAGATGAGGAATTTTCATTCCTGCTCCAGTCTCACATAGGAATCTAGAGAAGGAAATAAAAATATTACACTTTTTCCTCAACCTAAGATGAGTTTTCAAACAGAATGTAAACACCTAAGTCTCTGCTTACAGCCTCAAAAATACTTAGCATTGTATGCTCCAGCGAGACAATTAGATTCCAGAAATCAGTAATTGGTCTTGAGAAATTTAAGCTTGAATATCAAGTCCCAGAATCAGTGTGAGATGACTGAAGTTGTAAAGATTTACATTTCCTTTTTAGTCTTTGTGCATATTTTCAAAATGCAATTTAATTAGCTGCTGAAGATAATAAATTGCTTTTAGCAATAAAACTACCCCACTTATAAATCCGATACATCCCCACTCTAAATACTATGGGCTCTTTTCAAAAAGGGTACAGTCATGTTTTAAAAGGCTAGAGAAGGTGAAGAAATATCACTTAAGATACAGAATGGCTTTCATATCAGAAACWCTTCAATAGAACAAGATCCCTGAGCCCAACAAGAGATAACTGAGGGAGAATAAACTAGCAATCGATAAACGGAGTGGAAGGGAGAAAATGCGTGTGAGCCGAACTGCTTCTTGTGGGACAAGATTTAGGTGGGATCAAATGAAGTCATCGAGTGGGAAATTCAACAAATGAGCAAAAGGATGTAAAACCTTTTAACATGTTGTAAAAATAGAATTAATTGGCATTGGGTATTATGGATACTGGGGCCCTCTTGGGTTTCAAAAAGTAATTAAATTAAAGTAGGAAGTTAAGCATCAAGTACACTGAAAGGATGCAGTAAGCCAAAGCAGTACTTAAGCAATTAAATTTATTCAGTACAGAACTTTTTCACATCATTTTCAATAGCACATTTATTCAGGGTTTTTTTGTCATTAACCCCACTGCATCCTGTTTTTAAATTGAGCTGCTCAGAACAGGGACTATCCTGCATGTTTGTTCAGTACTTCTGAATAGACGTTCTGTGAAGTGACAAGTATTTTTGTGGTGCTTCCTAAACCATAAGCAATACTGATTCGTCTCCTCGCTGGTGCCTGATTGGTGTGTACGTGGCTGCTTTTCAGGAGGAAAATATCTTAAGTAAAAATACATTGAGTTGAATCAACAGTAGATCCAAGAAACAGTGATGTTGCTGCTGTGCTTGTCTTCTTTGCATGTCCCRCCAACATCTTGATGTGCAGGGAGCCGACTGATCATAAGAGATGTCACTGAGGCTTGTACAAACAGGTGAAKCATTATGCCAAATGCAAATAAGTTTCTTTTCAAATTTTGTTATAATGGCAGCAAGAGAGTGGAGCTACAAACCTTGCCACACAAATGTAAGTATTTTCAAGAGAAAAGTATCAATTTTACAGAAATTGAATTTCCACCCATGCCACGGAATCTTTCTCAAGGCTAGGTGGAGATTGCTGAGGTGCCTGTGGCAGTTTGGCAGTTTGGGTGGGATACACAGAGAGCATCTCCTGGATAATCCTGACACAAATAAGCAGCCTGAGAAAGCTGTGCAAGCCCTCTGCTGTGGCAGCTGCCTGCCTGTCACAGACATCTTCAGGCCCTGGCCTTTAGGACACTGTCAGTGAGTGGGGGATGAGCTACACCTCTTCAAAAAGCTTTCTTGAAACAATCACAAACAAAACACATATAACTTTCACACTACCATGCAGGCAAGCCTGGGGAAAAAAAAAAGTTGTGTAAGAAAAAATGTTCTAGATGAAGAATGACAGTTTAACCTCACTTTTAGTAGATGTTTATAAAAAGTGTTGTGGCTGTACTACTGGAGATGATTAATGGATTTTTTTTCACCCCCAAATTAGGTGAAGTTAGTTTCAGAGTTAAGGACCTTCAGCTCCTGTGATAGTGAGCAAGCTGCAGTGCAGAGATCTGGCTATTTTTCTGTGGCAGACAAGGTCTTCACTGCTGTCTTGAGCCATAATGATAGAGTTCAGGCACTAAAACCTGATTAATGTTAGTGCTACCTGAACAGTCTAACGCTGTACCTGGCTCCTGGAGGGGTCTGATAATTTTTAAAACACCAACAGAAGTCCTCCCCCTGAACAGACAAAGTTTTATTTTTAAGTGCCAGCAAATACCTTGACAATGAATAGAAGCATCACTGAGAGACAATATGTTTCTTCCCTGAAAGTAAATAATTTACTGAAATCTTGGCTTTAGGCAGATGACTTTATAGACCGCTCCTGCTATTTCTTCAGTACAGTATATGCAGATTAGCTGTGGTTTGTAATCTGCAAAGGCGTTATTGTTTGCATTATCCACATAAATCCTCCAGCATCTGTGTGTTTCATAAGGGAAAAAACATTTCTGCCTGTTACAAGAACACGACTATTGTAATAAACTCGTGTTATGACAGACTGTAATTACTGCGAGCAGTCTCCCCAAAGCCCACAGCCAGGGCGTTGCACTGAGACAGAGCATTTCCAGCAGCCTAGAGAGGATCAGCAGACCATGGCTAAGCAGCACAACRACGCGTATTTTCTGCCGGTCCTGCYTTGCCGTAGGGACCGGTGACCAAGCGGCCAATCCCCCGGGGCTCAGCGCGCTGCCTTTGGCCCAGTGGCCGTGGAGAAGGCCAGGGAGGGGCCGTGTGGCCGCGGGGCCAGCGGGCGGGCGAGCAGGGCGGGCCGGGSTGTGCAATGCCCTGGGGCGCACACGCCCGCACAGGCGCGCACAGCCGGCCGCACCGGCTCTGCCTGCGGTGGGCACAAACAAGCTCCRCCAAACAACTGGGACACGAAGGACTAACTGGTGAAGTTAAATATTTCTAAAATCGCTCCCCAGAGCATTAGGAAGTTGTCGGAATGATTGGCTGAACTGGCAGCGTAGGAGCTCGGCACACATAGACGTTTTGCAGAGATCTGCAAAGGAACCAGGAAACTGCTTTGATCTTAGTTAAAATCTTAGAGGGGCTTTTGTGGCATGSAAATAGAGAGCAGAAAGGTTGTTGCATGATTTATACTCAGCCATGAAGTTGTATGGTAGTTARAGTTCAATTCTATAGCAATATCTTCCCCTACACTTCCAAATTAGAAACTGGGCTAAGAATTGGTTMCTCCAGCCAACTGTAGACTGCTGAAAAGCATTTTTCCCCCATGACATGGATTTAAAAAAGTGCCTGACATAAAAGCAGTACAAACCGACTTCAGTAAGTAAATTAAAAATTGCKTAATTGATAGCTTCAAAGATTTTAAAGGCTTTATTATGTGAAGAAGCCATTTGCAATATTGATTGGTTTTGCCTTCAATTTCCATGAACCTGTGACTGTTTCCTGGGCCTGTAGTTTTTTCTCTGGAAACCTCTCAGGCTGTAAATCCGTGACTACTGACACTGGATCCATGTTTGACTGGATCTCCCAGAAATACGTGTTTCATTCTGATCAGGTGTGGCACAGGATCACATTTCTGTGTWATCATCCCAAGCACATTGCTGTTGCCTCTCTGTGTTGACCTACTAGGTGCAAATCTAGAGAGGGTCAGGCAGGCATGGTAATAGGTCAGGCATAAAGCCTGCAGGTAGCAGTCAAAGTGAACCCATCAGGGATTTCTCYGGTATTATCTGAATTGTCAGAGTGAGTTTATACCATGTCAGTGCTTTGCAGATGTGTCTCTGGTATTTGTGATTCCAATCAACATGCTTCAAATCCAGATATACACAGCTTTTTTTTTTTCCATACCAGCAGTAACAGATTAAGTGTAAAGGCTGTATTTTTCATCTCTTTGATATCAGGATAAGGGCAGATGTATTGCCTTGTCCTGACACGGCAAGCTTGTACAGGAAAAAGCCCCCCATCTGTCTAACCCTATGTTGCTACTTGACACTGAGTAAGTATCACAAGAACGTAGAAAAAAGAATATTTCCTTTTTGCTTATTTTAATTTGTTTTATTCAATTTTTATTAACTGGAACTATATCTTTGAAATATCATTTTGTCAGCTCTTCTCCCTTACTGCTYCCAGAACAACAAAAAAGGAAAATAAAACAATCTCCCCCATGAGGAAGTTGATTCTCCAGCAGAGGAAAGGTGGACCTATATCTTATACATGTTTCATGTACAAGACATTCCACTGATGTTCAGCCAAGAGACACACAAAAAACATGCCATTGACACAGGAGTGGGAGTGGGCTAAGCAGGAAAAAGGCAGAAGAAGAAAGGAGTGATGGATAAAAGATAACCAGCTCCTAATGAAAGTTGGGAACTGCATTTTGTGCAATGGTTTGAGCAGAAGCTGGTTTTATCCACTGGACTTCTTTTTAAGTTCTRTCTCTCTGTGGTGAAGTGGTACCTGTAACACCACAAAGGTCCTCGAGGGCGGCTGAAGAGGTCGAGAGAGATCCAGGAACCCTAAGGTTTGSGAAAACAGGAGCTGATGCAGGTGCTGATCTGCCCTGTGCAGAGGGGTTTGGAGCACGGAGCTGCCAGAGGTGAGGCAGCGCTGCAGCCGGAGCTGAACTGAGTTGGATCCACCCTCCTTTTCTAATCGCTGTGCCTCCCTCTTCATTACTGTAATGTGCCACTTGTTCCATTGCTGCATGCCCTSTGAGCTTCTCTTTGCCTCTCCTGCTCCAAGGTGTTTTTAAAGGCCTATCACCAAATTGTGATAAAAAATCAATCCCACACAAAGAGGACATCTTATCAAAGCAGTGAGGGGTGCTGGTTTTGAATTAAGCAAATAATTAGCTATCTAAGCCAAGGTGGCAGTGATATTGCACAGATATGAATCCTTAAGCAATAGCTTAAAGGAAACATATATAAGTTATAATGAATACTATTA